AAGAAGATGATGATGATATGGCAGAAAAAATAGCATTTTTACAATATAATATGAAGTATATTGATCTATATTTATAAATGCCGTTTATATCTTCATATCCATATATTTTGTACCAAAATTTTTTTTTGTTAGAGCGTAAAAGTAATTGACTTCTACGTTTGAGTTGTCAGATCAAATAACCTGAGTAAATTAAAGTCGATAACTGAGAGTAAAAAAATTAAGCAAATACGTATAATTCAAATAATTATATTAGTCTATAAATATTTTAACTTTATTATTGAACGTATCTAAAATTTTTGCGATTATTTGATATACACTTACATACATTATTCTTGTACAAAATTTTATATTGTTACTATTGATTCTAGAGAGAGCGCGTATAAATTTTAATTTCAGTAGATCTCTGATTTTTGTCAAAATGATAGGGTGATATAATGTTAGGCTATTACCATAAACTACAGACACGTATATCCATGAGTTGTGCCCGAGGTATTCTGTGAATAAAAAACCGACTTATATCAGATACTTTCCATATTATATCTCGAAAAATAGCATCTAGTACTTCAAAGAATATGTAAAACATCGAAGACTGGCAAAGTTGAACGAGAAACGTATAGCAGGTATATCTCTAGTCTTTGTAAATACCCGGATACAGGAGTCAGTAGTTTACGGTAATGATTTAAATTTTTATAATTGATAATCTATACAAGCCACTTTATCTAAACCTACGTTTCAAAAAGGTTGGTTTATCTTCAACATCCACACAAATTGTAAAATGATACTATTGTATGTAACAAAGTTTCGGATCAAATATCTTTAGGAAGATATATCTCCATTTTTACGGGACATAATGGCTTTTTTTTTTTTTATGATTGTGTCTATATTTTTTTATTAATAATCGGTTTAAAAATAACTGCTATACTTAGTAAAAAGGGAGATCATGAAAAAATTCGACCGTATATATAACTTTTAGAAGACTCCTCACGAATTAAAAGAATATTATAGGTTGCTATTAAATGGTATATGCAGTAGTTAGATAGTTTACTTTCGGTCATTACGATCGAGATGTAATTTGTTTCATCATCACAAATGTGCTATTGATTGAAGTTATAGTATTATTAATCAAAGTCTTCACAATTTCATGAATTAACAAATTTGAATTATTCAAATTTTTCATGCGAAAGCATATAAAATGTATAAAATAGGCAGTCTTCAATAAATTATAAATATTAAAAAATCAATCTATTAAAGTTACTCGGATTCCACATAAATTCTAAGGTTTTTCTAAAAAAGTTATAAATTATTTATTTGTATATGATGACATATACAGTATCAAATTTTTATTTACTTTAGTTTATAAATTATATAAAAAATGAATTGTAGAATAGGGTGTAATAGGCTTGCAGTAAATGCAGAAACAAACGAACTATGATGGATATATTTGAAAACTTATTTGGGAGGAAAATTATTATTACTAATTAACATCTTAAAAGATTCAATTAAAAATTCACAAAACAGGATATATCCATTGTGACTTTCATTGTGGAATCTTTTTCAGCACGAAGAATCGTGTTTAGTTCATTAAATTCTATATTGCGGATTTATAATTGTTTTAAAAGGATATCGGAAAATAGAGTATATTGGGTTTCGATTTGTCATACTCTCAAATTTTAACAGGGCGACAACATATAAAAACAGAATGACTACCAAAATTCTGGACATTTATCTATACTGATCTAGCATTAAAAATTTTATAGTGGATTAAGACTTGAAAAAATCCCAAGTACCGTAAATCGGTTTTACCACAAAATCCCGAATGACAGATTCGTATAGGTGTGAGTCTAATAATTTAGAGTTTATTCTATTTTTTATTTTAATTTTTTTTCCTATTTGTATCGGTCTTTTTAGGCCCGAGTATGATACATGGTGGATACTATTCTAGGTGTATGCGGTGATTTATGATATTTATGTTGAGTTAGCACTTATCGTTATACATTGGTAAAATCGATGAAATCCGCAGCACCAAAATTCGATGTCACGCGGCCGAAAACGTGACCAAAATACCCGAATCGGAGCCCACGAAATCGGCGGGAAGAAGAATTTGGTTTTCCCCACAAACAATCCAAGCCTGGAGAAGCCCCAGGAATGTAAAAGGTTGGGAAAAGTCGCTAAAGAATCAGCAAGATGCTATGATCGCATCTATGATGAAATCAGCATCTATCAGGCCCCAAAGACCACGGTATATTGGGATCCCGTGCATGGTGTAATAACCATGGGATGACCACCTGGTTCAAACAATGCCCAAGCATCGCCCAAAGTAGACAAATGAGGCGGTGGCATTGCCGGGCTTGGATTTATATTAGAAAAAAGTTCCACCCGCATGTAAAAAATCGGTATAAATGAGCTCTGTTCGCCCTCTAATAAAAGTAGTGAGTGGTGTGCTTACCAGAAAACGTCCTCGAATCGTTTTGTTTTTGTTTCCCATATACCCAATACGCCTTACCTTGCCAAATCGGAATCGCCTTTTGTATCGAGTATATAGGCGGTTTGTTGTCATGTTTGTGTTGTTTTTGGGTGGTGATTGTTGCGACCTGTTGCCACTAACAACATGCATTTAAATCCAGAAAAAACTAAGCTCCTTTTTCATAAACTTTCAGAATTGGTATGACTTAATATATCAACCCGATGAGCCTGATGAGTATGATACGTAAGTTTAATGATGATGAAAAGACAATTATTTAATGAATTCGATTTTATCTGATCAGTTGATATATAGTTTATCGACGATATTTTTATATAACTGGAAATCTTGAGAAACAAAATAAAATGAAAACTTACTGTCCGAAGTTCCAAATAGAAAGACATTACTAGATATCACGAGTTTTAGCTTATCTTTATGATATTATGCATAAGATAATAATGTTGATGGATATAGTTTGATGTACGAATATGCTTGAATTTTGTTCTAGTAGGGTCTCAAAATTAACAAAAAATTGCACATTTCATAAACAAAAAATTTCAAATATTTCAAATATCATTTTTCTTATGTCGAATTATAAGCCAGAAAAATGAATTAAGATACCTTTACAAATATTTTAAGATAATGCTATTTTTTTTTAAAGATTTAGAAAAAAAGCTCCAATTCATGAGCGTATTTGGTTAGATTATTAATAAATGGTTGACCAGAACAGTCTTAAATTTAATAATGTTGAGTGTGTCAATATTGTAATGATAGGAGCTACCTGAAAAAAAGTATCACATACAATACAAAAAGGAAAATGGATTGGCATTTTCTGTCCAAAATTTATGGTTTTTAATTCAAGTTTAAAGTATCGACACGAGAGTTGTTGGTGAAACTAATTAATTTCACCAGGAAATTGGTGCACCATTGAAGATTAGTTTCATCTATAACTCTAGTTTTACAGTTTTACCATCGGTGCACCATTGAAAATTAGTTTCACCTGCAGCTCTAATCGACACTTATTTACATTCATTACAATTTGTATATAGTAGACTAATAAAAACTCAAAGCCACTCTCAAACGATGGTTTTATTATTCCAATCAAATAGCTTTTACATGCCGAAATCGATAACTTATCGATCGGCATTTGATAAAGGAATAGTATTAAATGGGGAAATCTTCGATATTTGACAATAGGGTTTGTGCATTATTCCTATCACGTCTACTTTTTTGACACACCTAAATGAGTCCTAAATAATAATATAGAGTTATTGGATGCGAAGCATCCAATAACGAGAATTATTTTTCTGGATAAATGATTTCATGTGATCCGTAGGATAATTTCCCAGAAAAATAATTCGAGTATCTGGCTGTATTTTTAATATATCAGCTCTGGGTCCCGAAGGGACTCAGAAGCTGGAATATTAAAACTTACTGCCAGATACGAAAGTTATTGTGCTTCGTTGGCATTCAATAACGGTATCCTATGACGATAGGGCATACAACAAGATTTGAGTTTATTTTGTATGCCCGATCATAATAGGCTGCCGGATAAGTGCTTATATCATATGTAAATCATCAGGAGTTTTAGTATTTGTTAAAGTGTTGCGTAATAAAATTTAATTTATTTTTTTTAAAAACCGTTCATATAATAAACTTTTGACTCGATAAACCATTTTTTATTTATTCGATTATAACGCATATGGCTTGTTAGCATAAAATAAAAAATGCAATATCAAGAATTTCTTTAATGAAATTACACGCATTAGAGGCTTAGGCTAAAGATGGGAAGTAATAATATAATAAGTGGCTGAATTTCTTGGGATCAAATAAAAACGGAACTTACATTTTAAAATTGAAAAGCCTCATATCTTTAAATCCTTTAAATAAGATTATCTCAATTTAAAAGTTTTGGCATTTGATAAAAATAAATTATTAAACAAAGTCTTTCTCGTCCAAAGTTATAAAAGAGCTGTAATTTTGTCTTTGTAAAAAATATCAAATAAACATAATATTCAATACTCAAAATTCAATTTGACTCAAATCACTACCGCATCAAATATAATATTCAAGATTTAATTTGATTTAAATCGCAAACATAATATTCAAAATTCAATTTGACTCAAATCACTACCCCATATCATGTCACTGATGAAAAGTCTAATATTGCCAGTTCTATATTACAATATTGAATTTATTCTATATAATGCATTAAACAAAATTTACATTTAATTCATTGCATCCAAATTAAGCAATGCCTATTAACTGCAAAATTCCAAAGATGAACAATTCTTGTGAAGTAATCTCTTCTCCAGAAGGAATAAATAAGATTAATATTCGTGGTTACTTAATGAATCAAGAAAGAAACTATTATTGGTGCTATGAGAAACAAATGCAAAGGTCGTGCAATAACAATTTT